CTGCCCCAATAAATGAATTGTGTCCCTATATATCCTGCCCCAATAAATGAATTGTCACTATATATCCTGCCCCAATAAATGAATTGTGTCCCTATATATCCTGCCCCAATAAATGAATTGTTACTTTATATCCTGCCCCAATAAATGAATTGTCACTATATATCCTGCCCCAATAAATGAATTGTGTCCCTATATATCCTGCCCCAATAAATGAATTGTCACTATATATCCTGCCCCAATAAATGAATTGTTACTTTATATCCTGCCCCAATAAATGAATTGTCCCTATATATCATGTCCCAATAAATGAATTGTGTCCCTGTATATCCTGCCCCAATAAATGAATTGTCCCTATATATCATGTCCCAATTAATGAATTGTCACTATATATCCTGTCCCAATAAATGAATTGTCTATATATCCTGCACCAATAAATGAACTGTTACTTTATATCTGGCCCTAATAAATGAACTGTTACTTTATATCCTACCCCAATGAATGAATTGTTACTTTATATCCTGCCCCAATAAATGAATTGTTACTTTATATCCTGCCCAAATAAATGAATTGTTATTTTATATCCTGCCCCAATAAATGAATGGTTATTTTATATCCTTCCCCAATAAATGAATTGTTACTTTATATCCTGCCCCAATAAATGAATTGTCCCTATTTATCCTGTCCCAATAATTGAATTGTGTCCCTATATATCCTGCCCCAATAAATGAATTGTGTCCCTATTTATCCTGTCCCAATAAATGAATTGTGTCCCTATATATCCTGTCCCAATAAATGAATTGTCTATATATCCTGTCCCAATAAATGAATTGTCTATATATCCTGCCCCAATAAATGAATTGTCACTATATATCCTGCCCCAATAAATGAATTGTCCCTATATATCCTGTCCCAATAAATGAATTGTCTATATATCCTGCCCCAATAAATGAATTAAAGTTAATATTGTATGGTTGAAGTCTTGAAAACCCATAGATAATGGAACTTATATTACAATTAGTACATGTTTATGAGTTTTGACTGAATAAAGGCCAGCATACATACATATATACCACCTTGATTAAGCAACCACCTTTAATATGTGACCACAATAAAAATCCCCCCTACAACTTTTCAATATAGTTTATGACTGATAAGCAACCACCTTCATTTTGTGACAGACGCTCATGTATTTTCACTCCAGTGAAATCAAAATGAATCATTGCTGGTTCTCATTATCTCCCTTATATTAACATCATGTGGTTTCATATATAGGTGAGATTGAATGAGATTATTGTTTATTGGCAATTCGCTTTTCTTAGAGACAACCTTCATTAAGAGACAGTTTTGGTTTATTTCCTGGAGTGGTCTCTTAATACCGTTTCTATTATATCTTATTTTATTTCTTTGCCTTTTTAGGTTGTAAATGTATTTAATTTATTTGTAACATATGGTGATACATTTTTACCTAATCCTAATAGCTATGATGAACTGTATTATGAAATTATTAGAATGCATCAAGTGTTTGATAACTTGTATTCCATGGGTAAGTAAAAGAGTTTTTATAGCTTCGTTTCATAGTAAAAGTTACGTTATTTTATGCTGTTTTGGATATAACATACTTTTCAGGACAAGTAGAGTTACCATTCCAACATTAAGGCTACAACATGCCACGATACGCATATTGTATCATAACGTCATGTATCGATACTGGGCGATACCTATTATTCCATAAAAGAGTGAAAAAATTTTTTAAGTTGTTTATGGTATAACAGTTTTTTTCACTGAAATTGTTAGAAACTTTTTATAAGACAGTGGATGCTAACCACTTCTATCAACTATATTACCAAATATCACAGTTATAAAGTTATGAATCAGTATAATATAAAGAAACTTTGAAGATAAAATATTAATTATTATCCAATTACCCCATATCGTATTGTATAGTTGATTGATTACCCAGCACTAGTATCAGGTTATTCCACAAAACATTTCAAAGTTAATACTTTAATCACAAAATATTCAAAAGTCGCCCAATTTACCTGATTTATCAACATTTTCTGTTTTGAATATTCAAAGCAACAATTTCCTCATTTTTTGTTAATATCAAGGTAAAAGAGTTAAATCTAAACTACTCTCCCTCAGGATGAATAAATATCCTACTTTCCTTCCAGCTTTAAGATATACAACAACAGATGGTGAATATAAAGATTCTGCTGCTAGACTAACCAATAATCTAGTCAATATAAGGTAAGACATATAGATAAACTATCACTAAAACTTATTTTCAGTAATTATTCCATACAAGCATTTGTTTTGTGGGAATTTCTATTTTCTGCATCTTTTTTTTTATTCTGTCAAAGCTCTTGAGATCTCACCACTTTATTATTTTCTAGTTCTAAACTTTTATCAAAGTATTGTTTTTTTATTTTGTCAAAGCTCTTGGGATCTCACCACTATTGTTTTCTAGTTAACTAATTAACTAATACCATAATTATTGTTAATAACCATTGTTTGTTAAGCTATTACTAATTACACTGGCAGTACTATAGTGTTTATGTTTAATGTTGTAAGACATAAATTTGTGGATTGGTTAACCTTACAAAAACTAATGATTTACAGTATTTTGATTTTTTTTGTTCAGAGCAATTATCAACCATTTTACTCCTAAAGTTGATTCCTGGTCAGCAGCTAATAATCTGAATACATTAACAGAAGATCAAGTACTGGAAGTTGTCAGGAGTAATTATGATACTTTAACATTAAAATTACAAGATAATTTAGATCAGTTTGAAAGATATTCAGAAAAACCAAAAGAAACACCATTCTTTACTCAACTTGTAAGTTTACAAAAATTTTATTTTTTTACAATCTGGATTTATCATTTGGTGCTTTTTTTCTTTCTTGCTTTCCTTTCTTTGCCATTTATGATGAACAAAATTGTTATACATTTCCTGTTATTTAATATTCAACCAATTAAATGTTATGTTCTATAAAACATTTCCGTGCTATATGTGAGGAATTTAGGGATATTTATTGTATAACATGACTTGCTTAAAGACAGCAAAATTCATATTAAAAGAGCAGCATAAATTCACAATTTTAATTGCTTTTCAAATTTATGAATATATCATATTCTCTGCTTCTTTGTGGTCTTTCAGGTTTGCTAATATCATTTATTGTAATATTTTACAGGTACGGTCTATAACATGTGATGTTAGGAAACATGTCTCTAATTTAGCAACTCAACATCATGACATGTTAATGGAACTCTCACAAGCATCATAATACTGTCATATTTTACAGACTAATGATATCAGAAACATGTCAAGATATTTGTTTCTATTGCATAAGAGAAATTTGTTGGCAAATGAGTGAAGTTTTTATGACATGTGTATAAGAGAGTTATAGCTTATAACTGGTTTGGATAGTATTTGTGTTAGTGGCATCTAAATGTGGTCAACATTTTGGAAATGAAGAGAAACACTGATTAAATCAAAATTACTATTAATATCTATGATACACTTTCAAAAAATTGGAAACATATCTAGAATCTTGTATATTGTTCACAGCAGAGCTGATACAACAATCTGTAAAGAGAGACCACAATACTGGCTCCTTTGAAAATTTACAGAAAATTAACGCATGGAAATGTAGTTACCATATATGCAGTAAAACCCAAAGTTATTTCATGGGAGCAGTTAAGCATAGAAGCTGAATTGTACCTACTGGGTTGGTTTGCTTACTTTAAAAGACGGCTTGGTTTCAAATTGGTCTTCATTGTAGTAAAAAATCTGTCATGATCATTATAATGTGAAGAGTAACAGGTATATAAGGCTGTATTCTTGTTCAAGTATCTTCAAATGAGATACAGTAATCACATCTTGTAAAAATTTTAATGTATTCAACATGTGTTCATTTTTTCTTTCATTTTATTTGTATGTATATTATTTATTTTAATATTTTATTTTGTAAAGATAATATGTAAATGTTGCCAAAACTTGTATGCCATGAACAGCATTTATCCTACCTATCTATGATAACATGTCTTGTGATTAGAGTTAGTTATTTATGCTGCAAGTGAGAAAACCCCATTACAATGCCTTTAAGTCTATATCACAATTTGCTCATCAAAACAAAAACCTAATGTACCATTGTCTTAAAAACTTCTTTAAAATGCCTTTTATTATGATCAATCCAGATACTGATGAAGTTTATGCTAGCGGAATAATTGGAAGGTATAAATTGTCTATCTGTATGTATATATGTAATGTATAGTAATATATCAAATAGTAATAAATCAGATGTATGTGTACATATATATATATATATAATAAAAATCTGAATGTTCACTATGAATTTTATTTTTATCCTAACCATTCCCTCAAATGATGTAATGAGTTCTATATTCAAAAATTGCTCCAAAATTGTCTCAAAGTGGAACAGTCACTGTTACATTCAAGCTGATAGAACATATCCACACTTAGCACACAGGCTTATGTTGTTGGTTTGGTTTGTTTTAAGTCTGGATGATAAATTTCATATTCCAAGTCAGTCTTTGAAATGTCTTCAGAGGATATTTGGTGTAAAAATTCCAAGATCTGTTGAAATACATTACCATCCAATTGGCTATTAACTCCGTTAATCCAAATCCCTTGAAAGACTAGAAAATATTTACCATACAAAATAATAATTAGATATTTATTGTAACAAAAACAAGTATGAAGTATCTCGAAAGGCACTTTTACTACCCTAAAACAGAACACACATCTAGAACACAAAACTTTGCTCGACATGTCGGACAAGGTGAAATACTGGACATCCATGTCTCTGGTTCTTGTTGATTCTGTCTACTAGCAAACCATTTACCCATACATTCTAAACACCACATTGGACGACAATAACACTGTTGACACTCTCCATCTGGGAGATCACTACATTCTTTTCTTAATTTAACATTAGATGGTTTGACCATACAGCCTATACAGTTTTCTACCTCCTGCAATAAATATGGAATTTGATTACATGTATTTTAATAAGTCTAGTAGAAAAGGTATATTAAGGGAGGAGGTTTTAACAGGCATGCAATGAATTATATCATGAGAAAATTATGTAAATATTTTATGACCATGCCACATCTTGCAAATCAGGGAGAAGATTTTACCTTAAAGCCTATAAATTTTACAAGTGTATTTAAATAGCTGCTTTCAAGATATATCCTTATATAAAATGGTACACTTCATAGTAACCCAAAACTTTGAAAGAAATAATAGACAATGTTAATATAAGAGACTAATAACAACGTAAATCTACTCACCGTATCTTGAGGTAATCTATATTTTGGATTTTCCTTGACTTGATTTCGAAATTCTTCTAAAAATTGATCGCTTAATGATTGTCTTATTACTATACTTCTTACATTCCTTATTGGTAAAGTTAATTTTTCTTTTAAATCACCATACTCTAAAGCATTTAATCTGAAAAATATGAGGAAATTTAAGAAAAAGAGTCCCTTAGTACAGGACATTGTAATTAAAGGTACAGAAACATACCTGTAAAAACCTTGAAAACAAGATTATAAGATTAATAAAGTTTAGTTACCTAATATGAAAAGGTTTTAATTTTGGATTAATTCCTGAAACAGATATAGATAAAAACTGGGCTGTGGTATTGTTTTCATAAGACAGAGCATGTTCCTCGGAATGGGATAATGTTAAATGGATATCACTCTGTCTTGCTACATTTACATAATACGCCGAAGTTTTCATCACCCAAGAATCAGTCACTATCACTCTCCTTCCAAATCCACCAGTAGTGAACTTATCTACACGTCGGAATTCAATATCAATAGAGGACGCCACAGATCTCCAGTTGCCATCTTCAGAGAGAAGTCTTAATTCCTGAGCTATTGGATGGTTGTTCCATTTTCCTCTAGACCACCAGAATGCAAACAAACAAGCTCTCAAACATAATGTCAAACTAATCACAAAATATATCTGCCATAATAAAGAGGTTTGAAAGATGTTGAATAAGTTCAAATGTGGAGAGCATATCACTAAACCAAAATAATAACCTGAAAATATGACAAAATACATTGATTATATTATTTCATATGATATCCAGCCACTTTTTAATTTTAGAGTGACTCAATCCAATATTCCAAACAAAATATTCAGAAATGCAACAGTAGGGCATAAGCCAATCAGAACAGTAATCATTCTCCACAACAATATCAATGAAGCATTTCTGATTAATTTTGACTGAAACTTCTTGGAGCAAAGTGTGTATAAAAAGTTAAAATCTTAAAGAGTTACATAAATGAAGTAGCACTGAATTATTCCTGTCCTGTGACTTCAAAGACAGTTAGTCAATCAACTATCATTATTAATAAAGGAAGGTTGGCGAATCCTACCAAGGGGAATAAATGAATGTATAACAAGAGTTGCAGTTGTTCGTCGAATGTGGTAATAAATGAAATTTAGTTCTTCGCTCCCAAGGAAATTTGAAAACAAATTCTGGATTGTCAATCCACCAGACACGAATTCTGTCGGAGGTGCCACAAAACAAACGCTTAAAAAAGCATAAACAAGAGAAAACAACAACTCCGGAGATTCCATTTTCTCAAACACTTGGGTTAAATATGGTAATGTTCATGTTTGATACAAATGACAGTGACAAACAACAAAGCCAAACTGTAAAATAGCATATAAACAAAAATAGCAGCGTGTCACTTCCGGTATAAACAAATTCATTCGTTTGGTAAGCACACGGCAATCGTGTGATAGCTTCACGAACACATTTCTGTCTTTTAACAACCGGAAGCATGTATACACAAACGTTAATACTCCGTTATAGATTTATATTATTAACATACCATAGGATATCTACTGCTTTTTACAACCAAAACATTTACCCAATACATAGCTATAACTTTGTATCATAATGTAATATTATGATATTTCAACCTAACAAACTAATGAAACTCATTTAGTTGATACATTTTTTATTATCAAATTCTACTTATCATTCAACAAACGAAAATACTTATGTCAAACCATATATTAGACAATTGTCATGTCCCATAGAGTTATAATATCTTTTAACCCTCATTGGTATGTCCCTATGTAGCCGGGCTAGTTCAGGGGGGAAGCGAGCTCAGTTGTTATATAAAAAAAAAACGATGTTCTCAGTTGATAACTTTAATAATAAAACCCTGTAATAATAATATGATACAATTAGATATATAATACAATAATAAAATACTATATCTTAATAATGATTTATCACATAAATATTATCACAGTAAATGCACAATACCTATTTACACTTCTATACTAGTAATATATGTTAAACTTAATATGCAATGAGGGAAACTTATGCCAGGGACTAGATGAAATAAGATTAAATATATAAAAGTAAAACTAACCCAAAGATGGGGTTTTATATAAAGCTGTTGGAATATGTATAACTATATCTATAACTAAACCTGTGAATGTAATTATAATTAAAAGGTAATTATAACACTTAGGAATTAAATAAAAGACTATGAATATATTGAACACAAAAGATCCCAAAGCATAAAAATTCAAGATGGCTGCTGTTGCTTAAAATACCATGGTTACATTTATACACCTCTCATAAAAAATATAGTTTCCCCAGAAAGACAATTACCCAATAAAATACCAAAACACACATACCTTAGTTATAGAACAATAACTGGTGATGAAAAAGAATAAAGAAGAAGTAGATATTCAGTATTTCAAGGAGGTTGAAATATACTTCCTTCTTCTTTAAAGACTTAGGTAAAAGTAAAGTTTCTGACTGGACAGGTGATGAAACTCACTAAAAACTCACCCAGTTGGCCAATGACAGAAGGTGACAAGGTCCAGTGAGATCAGTTGAGTTAAAGAGATTAAGAGAGGGCAATAATTAGTTAATAGTATAAGGCCAGTGTAATGTAATTAGGTGTATATAAAAACAGTAGTGGTGTATTTAGAGAAGATAACAAATAAATAAAACAACCAAGTTTCTTTAAAAATACACCCTATCACACCTACACTCTCAACTATACCTTAAAATACAAACATAATATAGTTTGTTTACTCCTATTTCTTAGTCTCCAATTCGCTTTTCAGAAGGATGGAAAAAGTTAGGCCTCCAGTATCAACAAAAATTATGTTTCTATTTTCCTTAACTACCATTATTGTAATGTTTTATTTTCTAGAAACCTTTCTTTAGAGGAAAATAACCTTTCAAATTTAACTTTTCAGCGTAAGTTACTTCCCTACAGCTGCAAAATTTGTTTTGAAGCACATTATTCAATTATTGTGTCAGTTGTATTATCTCCGAATTAATAATAGGCTATACATAGTTGGGTAATTATCTATTTAAAAGATAATCGAAATGAAAGTAAACTATGTTTCAAATAGATGAGAACCTTCCTGTGATTAGACCTGTGAACCGCCGAAAATCTTATATCTTAGAACCTAATTTAGTTACTTTTCATACTGCGCACCCAAGTCTTTCAACTCGGTGCATTTTGGTTTGAAGCATGGACATGTATGAAAAAAGCAAGATTCCAAAATACATTGTTAAGTATTTGGAAATTAATATTGTTGTCTGTAATTCTACATTTAAGTAAAACTTTCGACTTGTCTTGTAGTTGTATTTTACTTGATATGGATTAAAATGTTGAAATTCAACATATGTATTTTTAGTAAATACATTCTTTTACAACCAATTTAGCGATTTGTATTAGAAGTCTACGATTCTTGATTATGGAACCGGTCAGTCTTAGTCGGAGAGAATCATCTAGTATTAGTGGCACTTATAGTGCGAAAGGTATTTTTTGCTCAAAGCTGCAGTATTATCTCAGGCCAGCCACAGACATCAAAGGTGTTGGCTTACCCCCACAGGTTTTATGCCTTGATTTTTGTGCCTTTTCTGTAGGTTACATAAGATTTAAAGATGTACTGTTGGTGTTATGCGTTATTACTATATAAAGATAATAATATTATTTCTACTGCTCTCTGTCTGATCTCCTTACAAATCATGCCACAAACCTTATTTAAGTAGGCTATGCACAGTGCCTATTATAGTTATTAATTATATACATGTCAGACAATATCAGATAATATTATGATAATGCAATAGCCCACAGTTTGATTATGTAATGGTATGTTCATTATATGGAACGACCACGGTATATATGCAATTCTGTAAAATGACCTAATGTAGCTGTCCAGTTGGTGCTTCTGATCTTTTCCAGAAAAAATGTCTATACTAGGATGCCAAGTGATGTCGAACCCACTCGTTACCAATAGAAAATGATGTGTAGCTTGTTTTTAACTGAAAATTGTTGACAATTATAGGCTACCCCGATTTAGATCCGTGCTCCTGAAGGCAAAAGCAGTTTTCCAATTCATGCTACACTGCCTGTTGTGGGTGGGATTAAAAAATAGAGAACTAACTCAAAATATTTATTAAAAATTTATACTTATTGAAGTCAGACTGTTATTGTTATGTAACCTTCATTACTGGACTGATATTATGTTGTAAACAGTTAAGTTGCTGGTTAAATCCGCGTTGAAAACTATATAACAGTTTCTAGTAACGGAGCAAACAAAACCTTATTTTAGAGCCATCTCAACAATAAAATCTATAGATTGGCATACTTGATGCCTTTTTACATTGATTGATCTTAAATTAGTTAGTCATAATTAAACTCAAAGCATTATTAAAGTGTCTTTTAATTTGATTATTTATAAATAATTGGACAAATAATTCAAAGCACTATAGAAACTACAATTTTCAATCAATTTTTTATGAAACTTTGTGTTCGCATTGGAATTGGTAAGGTCTAGGTCAAGTTCGCAGTTAACGATTTTTTCGAAGAACGGATTTTGAGTTATTGCCCCTGATTTAATAAAATCGAGTCAAATTTGTTTGTGGGCACTATAGAAACTACAGTTGATTAAAATGAAATTTGGTATAATCATATACATTGATGATATCTTAGATATTTCGAATTTAAATGTTTTGACGAACGGTTGGACGGATGAATTGTTGCCAATGACTAAGTAAAAACGCATCAAAAAACGCATAAAATTTGGTCTGATCATATATTTTGATGAGATAAGTTAGCATTTTTGACTAACAGCTTTTGAGTTATTGCCCTCGACATATCAAATTTGTTCACGCTCAATAGAGTCATTCCATTTGAACTGTGATCATTGGAATATTGATAAGGTCTTGAGTAAGAAGTTGATTACTTTTCTGAATATTGAATAGAAACTTGACAGATTAATCATAACGGCTCATCTTGCTCTTTATTGAGTTTAAAACTGAAAAAAAAACTGCTGCGTGGACGTATGTTAACTTTGCCTGGCAAGCTATCTTTAATTTGTATCTGTACCTCTTTGTGTGAACTTTTAACACTGTCGGCCAGTAGCTAGTCCAAAATCGGGTGGTAGTGTCGGAATCAATCATCAAGATATGTCTGTGTACTCTATAGACTAGACTGTTGCTGTATAAAGTGATTATAAGGACATATCAAAATTGAAAAAATAGGGACCGATCCCTCCATAGCAACGGAAATGCAACTATCATTGTGTTGTTTGGTAACAGATTATTATATGACTTGCATATTACGTCAACCACTTTCTTTTATTATCACAATGAATTTTTACACTGGTTTGAAAAGACGTAATGTATAATAACAAAAATACATTTTTATTTGCAAAGCGTTGGAAAACAACGATTGCAAGTCAAATAAGCCATCATGAACAATGTGAGGTATTAAAATCATAAAATTTCACAGGCTCTACTTCTGGTTTTAGAATCTATTTTATTTTTGGAAGAGTTGCAAACTTTCAAGTCTATATTCTGATTTAACACAGAATGTTGTGAGAAGGCATCATTCGGTTCTTCTATCAAGGTTGTGTCACTTCCAACCAAGAAATAGGTAGCCATACACCCCTTTCCTTTGACAGTTATATCTCCCCTTTGTTTGTAAAGAAAACCAGAATCACCCAGCGACCTGGAAATATATTACACAGTTCAATAGAAAGATAACACTTTCCATACTGATAGAAGATAGAAAGAAAGTAAACGTATGCGTTGACTTTAGTCCTTAGATGATTGTTCGTAGTTCTATTTTAAAAAGTATTTGAGAACAGTTAAGTCATCAAAATTCACATAAATCATATTAAAAATGAATCAGATTCTTGGCTTTGCATTCTGTGTGTGGATATCTGCAGCTGTCATGATGAGGATAATTGAACATAGAAAAAAAGAAAGCATCAAGATCTGCATTTTGATCAGATTTGATCCACACGACAAACGTGTGTGAAAATGAATGGAATGAAACTCACTGATATGTAGTTGGACTGATATGAATTCGGCCTGGTAGACCATGACTTTCCATTCTAGACGCTGTGTTCACTGTATCACCAAATAAACAATACCTTGGCATCTTCACCCCCACTACTCCAGCTACAACTGGACCAGTATGAACTCCGACACGTATCTGATAATCGAAGATAATATGAATGAATAAATTTGAATTATAAAATGCTATGTGAGGCCTCATTCCAAGTTTCTATAAATATATATGACAAATGTTGTGTGTCTCAAGAAGAATCATTACAACATAGAACTTAAAATTAAGCGAGCAGGCTACTTTAACATTAATTTTCATCATGACTAGCTTGCACAATTCCACAACTGAATTTCGCAAGAAGTTAGCTAACAATATGTCGTACCTGTATAGGTTGACCAGTATGTGGTGAAGTAACTTGATTAGCTTCTAGTACCATATCAATAGCAAACCTAGCTACAGGTATTGAGTGATGTTTGGTTTTCTCTGGTACACCACAGACTATCATATATGCATCACCAATGGTTTCAACCTGTACACCAAAGAGAAATTCAGGCTGTAGAACTATATAATTGGAACTCAGTTTAGAAGTTATTTCAATAAGATATTGTTAGGAACCTGATAAAACATTGTATTTAATAATATCAAGGCCCCTTTATTAAAGAGATTCGAAAAATTGTAGCACCAATCGTTTACTATTTCTCATCTGTTCTTGTAAATCCAGAAATAAAAATGTTCTTACAATCTCACATATCATCTTACCTCCGGAAGCACTGACATCGGACTAGAAAAAGGAATAGGCAGAAAAGATGCCCTAACATGTCACCGAACACACATACAAAGGCTTGAGATTCTGTATTAAATCCATTCAAGTCATTCCGAGGTATGAATCAGATAATGCGCAAAAAATGATGTTGCCAAAATGTGTTACTGTGTTTAATGTGTTTTGTGTGATTAAGTAGCAAAGTTTATCGGTTAATCTGTAAGCTACCTCAGCATATATTATTTAAAATACCTTATAAACACCATGTTGGTCTGTTTTCTGGTCAAATCTTTGATATAAGTCATTCAGCATGTTAACTATTTGTAATGGTGTACAGGCAGCAGATATTGTAGTAAATGTGACTATATCACTAAATAGGATCGTTACTTCCTCAAACTTTTCTGAAATAACATTTTAAGGAAGACCCCATTTAGTGTTATCTTTTGTAATATTTTGATACCACAAAATAATACATTTAATAGAATACTTTACTTTGTAGTTAATAGATATATATATAGTTAGTGCGAGGTATTTAACTGTTGGAGAGATTGACATTCTTATCGATCGAATGTGATTAACGAATGTTGACATTTGTTCAAGCAGCACTCTCCCAAGAAAAAGAGTAATATCTCCCAATCATTTCACTTACCTGCCTCAACCTGTTTACCATTCTTGAGTTGATGAGCAACTTTCTGCGGTAACATCTGATACAACAACATTTCTGTTTTCTTCTTCTCGCTTTCTAATGCTTTAGATGTCACTTTTAACTCTGCTGTTGTTTCATCCAGTTTCTGGCTGAAAAAAATGTGAAATGTTATGAATTTTAATGTCTCTGAGGGTGAAACGAACCTTTAACCCCTTTACGTTACAAAATTTATCCGTTCTAGGAACCGTTCTCATATAAACGGTTGAGCGTTCTGAGAACCGTTCCAATTCTGGCCCACCTCGGTGAGGTCAAATCAGTATTGGTATTTTTCATTGAATTCCTTAAGTAATGTATCATAGTTAATAAACATTGGATATTCTGCATTCATCTGGTCAATGGTCTTTTAAATTTTATCAATAGTGTGTTTTAAAAATCCAATGAATTTGCAAATTGTTCCACAACAATAAGATTAGTTGCCTACAAGGTTTTCTCATTGTATTAAAACTTGTGATCCCATGCCTTCTGACCAGTCTACATATTCTATTAATAAACATTAAATCAGCCATAAGGTCCTTACGCATAATCAATCTCAGCAGATCTTTGTTCGTGAAGCAAGACAAGTTCTCTTGTGACGTCATATAATGGTATATCTGACATAAACACTTTCTTCTCTGCTAACTCATTAAAACTTGATAGACGTAATGATCCGACAAATATCATATGACCCGAATCCTCTAACCAGCTCATTTGACCTGAGTTATGATGTACAATACAACATTAGAATTTATACTCTATAATATTTGTACTGATTGGTAATCTAATGTACAATTGAAATGAAATGGCACTTTAATAGGGTCAGTTTTCAATTTCAAAAAGCCTAAAAGAAATCCAACAAAATTAAAGTTGATCAAGACAAGGCGTTTTAAGTTTTCCGTATCGCTTGCGTTGCCCTACATATTTGGGTCCCCTGTTAAAAAATAGTTAACGAACACATAAATCCAAACCATTAGCCAAACTAAGAATCGATTGTCACTGTCATAGAAGACAATAAATGAATAAAAATAGATAAAAGGACAAATAAAAATTTTGTTTCCTGATCAAAAGTCACAGTAAAATAGAAAATAAGAAAACGTCGCTAATATCATATAAATCACATACAGTTTACCTTTCAAGCACACGCCATTTTTCTTTGTTTCATCATCTGTATGTTTCACGGAAATAAAAAATATGGAATTTATAAATTTACTGATGTTTTCTATAGTCAAAGCCATTCGTGGATGTACAACTTCAAAATTGTCAGACATACAAATCGGCGGTGTCTGGAAAGCCGGTAACATTTTCTTCACTTGATAACCACATTGTTTGATCATCATTTCTTTGTCGAAGATGATATGATAAGGGAAGGTTTTACAGATTTCATGCGGGGAAAGGTAGTAAGGCATGTGTTGTTGAAATGGACACATCTCAAACGCACTTTTTTCGATTGTCGTATTGGTCTCTGCCCCTTCTAGTGCATCTATGATATTTTCTGGTTCGTCGTCGAACAATTTCACCTGAAATATTGTAAACTGACACTGTGACGTCATATGAGCGAATGGCAACAACTTTACCTGCATCATATATTTGCGACACGCTTTAAAAGGTCTATCATAATAAAATAATGGAAAATTTGACAGATGGTGACCCAGGAGTTGTCAAATTCTGCCAAACCTTTTTAAAAACCTGTTGAACACACAATGAAAATTTAATGATTATTTTCTAGAATCCCTAACCTTTGTGTGTACCCACTATCAATAAATACACACTGGTTCATCAGCTATATAGCTTCCTGGAATGTTAATGTGTGAATTGGTATCAGTAAAGCAAATGATGTATATTGCCTAACAGTATTTAATGTGTATTTTATTAATTTTTATTAATATTTAACTCCACAATAAGTCACCTTAAGTTCTCGTATGGACGTTTTACGTGAACATTGAGTGGGATGGTATTTTTTACATGTGCTAGCTACTTAATGGAAAATATTACAAAAGTTAAACGGTTCTTCTGGATGAACAATTTTCTTCAAAGAAAAATGATTTGTCTTAAAGGGATACGGTCGTGTAAATATTGATCTTGTACGATTCAGCAAAAATTTATTGATTTATGACAGGTGACAACGGTAGAAGTTGACGTGGTATAAAACAAATATAACAAATATTTAGACGGTTATATCCCTTTGATAATATTACATTAGCTTCACGATTGTAGTTTCAAGTTAGTATCAAGTGAAAGCACTCAAAGCGTTGAAATAATTAGTACGATATTGCTTAACTATACAAAGGATAATTTTATCCTAATTAAAAATTGAACCTATTAACTGGCTTTATAACAATACATAAAGAAATTAAGAAGATTGTCGAGAAGCTATTAATGAATGATGAAAAGTTAACTTTTTAAATACCTTAAATGTGGTATGTTCTTGAGTTTTTCCCGCTATTTCTTCGGATGATGTTCCCAAGGCTGTAATCTCAACTCGTTGTTTAAATATGTCTCTTCCCACAGCACGGATAGTTCCTGAAAACATCAACCAATTATATTATATTCATATAATCTGTGACGATTGATCTCTAAAAGGTGTCTGGGGTTCGATTCCATGATGCCAAAAAACGTTCAGTTTTTTGTTTTGAAAACGAACACAGAGCAAAAGGTTGTCAATTTCAGGTTGTTTAGCCCACCTTAAATAATCTGTCCACAGTTGGATGTCAAGTGCAATTATTTTGGCGAAATATCTCCCCTGTAACATAACATGACCATATCTATCTTGTATCAAGGCATTTCTTTAAAGGAACGTGCGCCATTCTGGATGGTTGATTAGAGTCTTGAATATAATATGTAAATCGTCTTCAAAAGTACTAGAAATGTACGAAAATCGCATAATTCCTTCAAAAATATCTCGAACTATTTCTATATAACATGTCTTTTTTATACATCAAACTTCATTTATTTATATATTTGCGATTATTCCACCATATCTAACATATTAGTGTCTTTCAGAAAATTGAACCAGAATGTCTCGCATCATTTGTAGCCTATACGTTTACTTTAATATGAATTTACAACAATGCTGTCATGCTCTCTGAATGGCCAATTTTGTCCTTCTCAACAAATCGCAAGATTGCAGATAACCTTGACATTAACAAACTAGGTGATATCATTTCTTTGGATGAACAGTTTAGTCAGAGTGGTATGTATAAGAAAAAATATTTTATTTGAATCTTAAGGTGATGCATCAAAGCATAACAGGATGTAGTGGCAATTTACTGCTTTCTTTTTCATATAATAGATATATATATAATGTATTTATATATATCGATATATAATGGAAGTCGCCGAGTTTTTCTTGGGTACTGAACCTTTGCTTGTAGTAGCGGCTGAATGAAAGTACTAGGTAATTTACAGAATTAACTCAATGATATAATTAAGGTAGAGTTCAAAACAATTGATTACTTTTTCCCCGTATTAACTAGTGACCTTTTATTTTATGTTTAACAGACCATGTAATTGCAGGAATTGATTTCATAAATGTAAGAAAGTAGATTGGAATCAATACATATAAACCTATAATATAGAACTCTTACTGAGCAATCCCGTTTTTCATTGTTAAGACAAAATAATTCACAAGCGATACCCCATCATACACCACAATTGTATTTAATAAAAATAGAGTTTTATACCTTAGTTATATTGAACCATTTTGATCTTACTAAGACGACATTTAAAAATGAAATATACGAATCATTTCGATAAACCTAGGCTATACACATAATCTGACAATATGATTTATATTATTTCATTGATATACCAAATTCTAAACCAATGATCAGAAATCCACTAAAATAGTTGAATATTATGGATCAATCTTAAATCTTAAATGTAACAAGATGTTGCTTGGTTTTTGTTATTATACTTTCAAAGAAGTTATATTTTATCGCTGGTCAATAGTCTACCAGAAACAATCCTTTTTTTGTAGGTCGAGAAATATTTGTGCTCCAATGTGTGAAAACTATTCTAGAGAAATGTGCCCTTCACATATCTGAAAGTTTTAATTCAAAAAATCCAGCCGTTAATTTTTAAACGCCATAAATATTTAAAAACTATGGTTTTTAAGTACGTAATGCATTTTGGAAGCTGTTAGAAATTACTGTACGGATTCCAGTGAAATAAAAGCCTAATTGAAGAGACATTCTCCTACGTATTCTAAAGGTTTCTACCAATAATATCGAGCCATTATAAAACCAAACACCAAAACTAAATCAAACTGCTTAATTAACAATTAGTACTATCCGTTTTAAATTAACCCTTTTTAAAACAAATTCAAAGATACATAGATATAAATAGCATTTTTTGAAATATTTTCAGGTAGAATTTACGGCGTTTTTCATAATGAAAATACCCATTTAATGAAGCAATTTTTTCATTGTTTACTGTGTGTCTTAATTCTACTCAGGAATGGGTTACCTTTAGTGATAAGTAAATTGAGTACGGCCTATATAGAATTAAATGGAATTTCGTATCCTATTTTTCTTTTTTAATTGTCCTCCACGTGATGTTGATATTGAAGGCAACCAATGTAAAACAGCAGCACTGGCTTGGCTTTAATGTTCACGGCCAGCAGCTGCAAAAACAGTAAAGCCGGGCATTTGGCGACCATTGAATCAGATGTATTAGCTCCTTAACTTTAATCTATCAATTAAACCAAATTCAGATACATCCATTATTATCCATCTTTTCGTTGTGATATCGTTACTTGTTTTAATTAAAGTTGGACATTTAAACAGTGAATATTTGACTCCACAACAACAAAAAACCTGCTGGCCAATTCTCATTGTTAAGGGTTTGATATCATAACACATTTCAGACCACTCAAATGCTAATGTAGGAGATACTAATGATAATTAAACAAGAAGACGTGTTATTTGGGATGTCTTATTATGTATCTAAGATATCCATTATTGTTAAAGTAATAATTAAAGTTACCTAAGACTAAAGGAGCAAGTCCTGAACGTACTGAATAATAATGTAATAACAAATCTCCATCTTCACCTGATTCACATCTGAAATATGTTTAAGATGGTTATTAGTTATGTACATAAACGCTTATACGTTACATTACAAATACATGACGCTTTTTCACAATGTCAAGCCAGTACGAATACATCTTTTAGTTTGACTGCAGTAGCCACCTTTCTTGTGTCATAGATGTTTGTACATGCAGCGATTCGATTGGATTGCTAGCTAAAATGGCCTCGACAGTAAACAATAAGCCATAAGTCTAGGACTCTGATTGGTTGGATTCCCAATACATTCCGTGGTGCAAGAAATGTGGCAATTTCAGTCAAGGTATAAGACGAAGTTGTGAAGATGACATGATGTATCACCGTAATCGTCAATATTAGGTTGTAAACAAACCGAGATAAATTATCAGATTATTATTAATGGTAATTGGTTGTATTCAGGTAGATACATTGTCCTGTTTGCAAGATTGCAAACGATGTACCATTATCATCAAACCGATATACATTTTAATCCTTTAGCGGTAGAGATCACATTAAATAACGGAACACAATTTTATGGTATACTACTCCTTAAGGAGTAGTCCAGAGTTCTGTTATTTAATTTGATATACATTTTGCTTTCATAATATCTGTACGGTTCTAGATAGTAATCAAAAAATCGTAAGCGTAGTGTCTAGATGGTAGATGAACCGAGATGCATTATCTGATATACTATGTATACATAACATATCAAGGCACAATAACATTATATATACCGCGTGTGTGTGCCCCACCTACTCCTTGCAACACGTGGCAAAACAAGTGTTTCAGAATAAGTATTTATTTCAGTTCTCCTCTGAGTATTTAATATCTTGGTTGGCCTCCATGTGCCTGTACCACAGCCTGTATTCTTGAGAGGCGTGATTTCAGCAAAGTCTTAAGTTTTTGTCCATGTATAAGTTAGTTTGTGCTGTGGATTGGGGTTAGTTGTGATTCGAAACAGCCTCTATCAGTAATATTGAGAAGTTATGTCCTAAAAAGCAATAATACTCTACCATAGCATCGCAAGCACTTTATTATTCATTACATTGTTAATAAAACACCGATACATTATTTTATATGATTATCTAGTAAGTAAATAGCAAACTCTCCCATGAAATCAGATGCAATTTCCCACTGGCAAAAAGAAATTAGAAACGATAATACAATTTATATACCTGTTAAGTAAATATACCTCGCAGCTACATTATTCCAGGGAGAGAGATTGTCATAAAAATCTCTTTGTTTCTCAGCTAAAAGCGTCTAGGTCGGGGAGTGGTCACGGGAAAAATTTTCATTTCTTCTGACAGAAAGTAGAATCATTATTGTTTTAAATGCTGTGTGTACATACCTAAAAGACGGTGGTCTGATTTCTTTATAACTCAAAGCTAATAAGGAATGAAGGCTATCTAAATTTTGTATAAAATTCCACATGTTGTTGCCCAATGTCCGTAACATTGTATCATAACCATGTCTCAATACATGCATAATGAAATAATCACCAAATACTTCTAAAACTGTATTCACTGGCAGATCTGGAATCGACAAATTAATAAATAACTCATAATGTGCATTACCATACTTAAATATATATAGGATTCATTCCATGAAATTGGGAGTGACTCAATGAGTTAGAAGATAGCTCGCTAACCTAAAGGTCTAGGATTTAACCCTGGCATAGGTCGAAATACCTTCTGATTTTTCAGTCCAGTTTCCCTTTGTTAGTGGTGCAGGTCTGAGGGACCGACATGAAAAAGCGTTCAGATGGTACAATAAACCAAGGCCCCGTGTGCTTCAGAGTGTGCACATTAAAAAGATCCTTCGACAGTTGAAAATCGAAGTAGAGTAGGCTAATGTGGCTGTGCTAGCAAAATCTCCCTCATTGGACACTGCATGGCGTAGCCCGTCTTCATGAGCCCAATTAGGTGCAGAGGAGTAGGACGTAAAACGCTATCATTTCATTTTATGAAAGGAGGGTCTGTAATTGAGTACTTAAGTTTGTTATAGGTGTTCATATCCTTTCTTCTGACGAACTTTTCCAATATTGGAAACTGTAATTGGATCTGTAACTTGTTGCTGCGATATTTTCACTATAATCAGCATTCATCGCCTATATTAATCTAAAGTTTTTTTTTACAAATCGACTAGTACCTAAACATTCAGAGGCAGCTCCAACAACTTTATACGTTAAACTATCATCGTATTGTGAAAATACCAGGAAATGTTTACTGTCATCTAATCCGGATTTTTTCCTTAAAAATATACATTTTAATAAATACATTGATGCAATCATCTGGCTAGCTTTTAATCTGTTTTTTTGAGCATAAACCTTGATATTATATGATAGCAAAAAAATCAGATACGCCGAGCTTCGATCAGTTGGTCTCTCAAATTCAGGCAAATAACAAATACTGCACCATCCATGAAAGCTTATCTGGATAAATCAAAATTTAATCTATATTGAAGCAACTGGAGAAAAAGCGACATAAATGTACGATAAATATATCTGCCTCTGTCTCCCAACAGGTTACCAAGAAAAATAATACGCAATGCTCTTGTGATATTTTTGACAATTACTGAGTCTAAAGAACAAGTACTTACAAAATTGTGTCCCACATATCATGACCATATTTTCCGATCACCATTTGTCTTATAATGATATGAATTTGGCCATACTGAAATAAATGACACTATATCATGGTATGTAATGAAATGTCATAAAACACACTGATTAGATGAATGAAGATGGAAAACACCTATAAGAGTGTATATTGAAGACAGTTTTGTATGGCGTTCACTTGCACCTTCTTAAGTTGAGTTATCTATTATGAGACATTTTAAACGAGCACAGTACGTCGAACACGGGGCCTCATCTAACCATTGATGAAGAAAAGCTAAAACTAAATTCATATATAGGATTAATAACAGTAAATAACAACGTATACACGCCTTTACTGTATTTTACCAATTAGCGATTGTACTGTAAATGAATTTTGGATATTTATTAAAGCTGGTTATTCCTACGTTTTGTACTATATTTAGTTTTATAAATTCCAAGGGTTAGTTTAAGTTGATCAAATCAACCTCTTCCCACTGCATTCTGTAACCTACTAATGTTTAGAATATAGTACGATTATATACCATGAAATTACAACCTACCATGTTAGAAGATAATATAACATCCTATCAATACTATCAATATCACGAACTTCCTCGTCGAGAATGAGAGACTTCCTTTAACTCAGTATGATTAAAATTAGACCGTACTTTTGTTCCGTTTTTTTTTATTAGTTTTTATTTTTAGGTTAGCCACTTCGGTTATGGTATGGTCAAATTAACTTTTTGCTCTAACCTTATAAAATCCTCTTTAGACCACAACTGAAGTGCCGAATTAAAAATAACAGATAATAAAAAAGGGAACAAAAGTATGGTCTAATTTTAATTAAGAATAAATGAATATAAAATTTAGAATCACAATCATACAAATCTATCAAATTGCTACTTAAACCGATCAACTTATTTCTTTGGGCCTATATCCATAGGAAATGAAAATTGAAAGGTGTTTTTTTTTTTATCTCTTCAAGGTTACCTAATGAAGCCAGTTGGTAGAACTGTGTTTTATAAAAGCACGAGGTAACCTGAATAAAAACAAAACGTTATTGATGACTAATATACGGAGCCCCTAAGGCGCAATTGTAAACATATTTATTTATTATTTATTTATTTATTATTTCGTTTAAACGAAATAATAATTAATTCGTTTAAACGAAATAACATCATTTATTTCGTTTAAACGAAATAATAAATAAATATGTTTACAATTGCGCCTTAGGGGCTCCGTACTAATATGCCTTTGAACGATTAGATTAATTCTCACAAAGTCATTGTATAACTTTCATATTATATATTTGAAAAATAAATAATTAATTAATTCAGTTTTTACAATTTTTCTCCGAATCACGTTCAATATATAGTTTTTACAAAGCGTCCCTCCATCGAATTTTCGTCGTTATTTTTATGTGAATTGGAATATCAGCCATATTAATAGAATAGAAATGTAGGTTTAATATTGACTTTGTATTGATAAAGGTTGGTATATTATATTATTTTGCTTAATGCCATGGGAAATATTTGCTCATATTTTGCAACTTTTCGGTTAACATTTATTGGAGGGGTTAATGTTTTATGTGAACTCAAATGTGGGGCTTTTTTATTTTTGTCAATGCAAATGTATTCTTTTGAATCGTTTCTTTGATGCACAAAAAATATCGTAAATATCCGATTTCGATGAAACTTGTTAAAATTATCATCCGAGTTTGCACCCTATCGAGTATCGAAGTCAATTTTTTTTATTGTTGTTCCAAAATATATGTTAAGCTGGTGAAATATAGGAAATCTTAATAGTTCTTGTCGGATTTTTCTAAAATATGGACAAATAACTTTTCATCAATCAAAGATGCATCCTATCGAAATTCGGAAAATCTATTATCACCCTATAGTTATAGCCCTATTTTCTAATTTGTGGTGAATGACGAAACCACAGTTCTAAAAGCAATGTATAACTGAAGGAATATTTCTTCCTGGGGATGGTTGTCGTTCTGTCAAATGTCTTAATTGAAACAAAACTTGGCAAACTATCCTTCCGGTCTTATTTATGATCCATAATTAATAGCCTAATATTGTGCGGTTCGATGTCCACATTCCATTCTTGTTTCTATAGGTTATCTAGTCTTTCGAACCTCAATTAAGAGCGCTTAGATTTGTGCCAGTCTGCTTTGGCCAGAAGAACAAAATTGTGGTAGTGAAATTTCAGTTTATTAATTTTCCTCAATATTTCAGTCAACAGAAGTAATTGGAACTTCGTTCTCTGTAAAGAGATTAAGCTAAAAATCGGTTGAAAGAAAACATTCTTAGAAACTAATTTATCGTGCGCTATCTCTTGATATATTGATTAAATATTGTTGTAATATTTGTTGTTGATTAGTAAACAGATCAAAACAGAGAACTTAAATGACAGAACAGAACACTAACAAAACCAGGAGGAGAATTTTTGTTGTTGTTGATAACTCCCGTCTAGTAAATCGCTACCATACTAAATCATATAACCAAAATATATGTCGTTCACGTGAGATAAGACTACATATAATCACGTAGCATATTGACAACTTTACGAAAGATGATTCCAATGTCAGTACATGTATTAGGTTGATAAGGCTGGCGTGGATACACTTGTCGTTCGACGATCTGTATTCTGTAGGTTACACGCATTTATGATCCCTAATCATAATACGACCTTTCTGACAATTCCCCCACATGTGTTATCTGGAGCAGGTACAAGAAAGCAGAAATAGATAAAGATATATAGAAAGTGATAGCTTACCATGTTAGGTAGATAGAGGAATCATTAATCAGAATTTAAACAGGGTATATGGATAGAATCTTTTATATATGTAAGGTAGGGCTGCTATCCACGTCACACATCGATAATTTGTACATCAATATCATTATCAGTAAAACCTGGCATTAATTAACACGATCAAAACAACTCATTATATTGACATTCAAATTAGAAAATCAAAATTCAAATATATCAATATATATTACAATACCTAATTACAGACAGTTCATCTTTACCTTAGAGTTCATTAATACCTACGAACAAACACACTGACATAGGTATTTGTAATTTGTAAAGATTCATCCTTTTAAAGATGGGTTCCCTATAAGAAGATAATAATATGATTAAGAATACATGATAATTCATTAAAAACACCAATTAATCAAATAGTTTGCTTAATTTGACACTAAAACAATAAGGAAACCCATCTTTAAGCTAGGGCTTGTCAACTCTTTTCTTCCTATTACCCCATGCAGAATCCTCATCGATTGCATTACACCCTTCCCATAATAAATCTCTTTTTCAAATCGGAGAATATAGCCTGAAATTTTAATTGTCTCCAAAATTTATGCCAGGCTGCAAAGCGTTTGAATACCTACCCAGGTTGAAAAACCCCTGTTTTAAGCCATCTGACCAGTAACAAGACAGTAACTGCTGATATAAAACCCACTTCCCGTTAGGCTTGGATGATTTTATAGTAATAATAGTAATTTGTATAGAAATAGTACTTATTTAAATGAATTAAAATACAAAAATAAAGTATATACAAAGGCAAGATATAATATAACTGCATTCAGCACCATGAAAATTTTAATTGAATTTTAATCATAAAGCATTTGGTGCATATTTGAGAAATTGTAAACTATGAATGTGTTCTTGCAACCGGTCAGGTACAACAGTTCGATTCTATTGCAAACCAATTATTGAACCGCACAAGATCAGTTTGTACTGTAAGATAGCTCTTCAGCTCATGAAATTTCTGAACGGGTGCATCTATAGTTAAACTCTTGATGTCACTGCAAGTTTGTTAGTTTGTATTATATCATATGATTGGCCTTTTTTCTTGTACTTTTGTCACATGATTATGCAAATGATTGATTCTTGTTTCCGATACTCGGTGCTATCTTACTAACAGACTTTGGAAAACGTCCCCAGTTTCAGTTTCCTTATTTATTTATTTTCATAGTAATAAGAGCAGTGCGAGCACGAAAGAGTTTAATTAGATTGATCTGTTTGTATATGATCATTATATAAATAATAATATTAAAAGCAATAACTAGAAATTAATGAAATAAGTTAATTAACTGACAACTCCATCACACTGATTACCAAGCCCTAATATTAATTTCTATTCATATAGGGTGGCAATTAAATCAAATGTAATTTCCATTGTTTGCCTTACAATGGGTGACTTAGGTCAACCCAATCAAAATTAGACTTCAATATTTTGAGAACGTTAATGGGTTCATATTACAAGCTTTGATAGGTAAGAAACACAATTCCAACGCGAATGTAATAAAAAAAAAAAACTTGTTAGATTAAAATGGAGATGATCAGTTTCCACCGACAGCTTCTTTAAGACGATCATCTTTATACCCCTGTATATTCTTGTCGTCACACCGTCCCTCTGCTTGTGCTTTCTTGTCATGCTACAATTTTTGACATGTCGTTGGGTTTGCTCCAAGGATTATGTCTATTGTTCGTGTTAACAATATTTCTCCTGATATACGATTGAGCACATAAGTCACAAATTGGAGTATCTATTAGTGTTTACTGTACATATTACAATTTTTACGGATTAGTTTCATCAGCCATACCAACCATCACTAGTGACAGGGGACAAAGAACATCCAGGTTGCGCAAGCCATTGCTAGAGGTTTCATGAAATGAAACAGGGCATACATCATTGAAACTAAATAAAAACAATAGTAAAAATGAAAAAAGAGGAGTTTCTTTAACAACCTACTTGTTTCATATTTATGAATATTACCTTATTTTCATATATTGATTATAAAAGCAGGATATAATCTTAGATATATTATTGGATAATTATATGGATTACTTGTTAATTTGTTGATTCCAATAATTATGATGCTAATCAAGCGGTCGATATTCTATATCGTCTTAAAAACATTTCGTATTATTTCGTAGTAAATGTAAAACTTTGACCATTTCCTTAATAGAAGAAGAAATATTTTTATTAATACACTGGTCAATGCTCTGAAAGGGAGAGAGTGTGTTAGCTAAAGTTTTATAAGAAAAAACAGGAATTCTTTACAA